CGTGGAAGGGAAAGAAGATTGTACTTTTTTCTGTTCCAGGAGCCTTCACTGTGCGCTATTTGCTTCCGAATTATGTACATTTCTGACGTTTCGAATCAGCCTACATGCCATGCGAATCATCTTCCCCCGTACATCGAGAAGTACGATGAGTTCAAGGCGAAAGGCGTTGATGCTATCGCCGTCGTCGCTGCGAATGACGCTTTCGTTCTGAGCGGATGGGGAAGATTCGAAGGTGTTCAAGACAAAGTACAGTTGCTTCCCAACTTCCACGTTTCCCGCAGTTTAACTAAAGAATTCTTATAGTTGTTGATGCTTTCTGATACAGATGCAAAATGGTCTGAAAGCATGGGACTCTCTGTGGATCTCTCCGCAGTTGGTTTTGGTACCCGTACCGCCCGCTACGCCATGATCATCGACGATCTCGTGGTGAAATATGTAGAGGTACGACATGGCACATGCCATCAGTTCTACTGATTGATGTTATCTGTATATATAGCTCGAGCCTGCTAAGGGAGTCACCGTTTCTGGAGCCGATGCTGTTCTGTCCAAACTCTGAACCATAAATCATCAGAAAAGCCATAAATTTGTAATACTGCTTTGTATCATCAACGCAAGATGTGTTCTTGACCACTTGACCCGCGCCATGATCGCAGTAAAGCCAAGCCCTAACAACATTTCGCTCGGAATAAGGACAGATGCGGTGAAGAGCATGAACGTTCGATAGACTTCGAATCATTCAGCAGCTCAGGTCAAGCAACGAGCAGAGCAGGTGCAGCCACACAACCGTTGGTACGCATTAGATCTTATCAAGACTTGGGTCATTAAACCTGTTTTGCATAGTACACGCTGATAGAAGCACTTGGATTATCAGGGACCATATTTTAGGCGCGGGTGGAGCCTTTGCTGACTGCGGAGGCAATAATAACGCGCCCCGCTGACTCACGTCTCCGAAGGAATACTAGGTCAATGTCCAGATCCCAACGTTGCTCGAAGCTTAAAGTTATAAATATCAGTTTCGTAACACGTACGCTGTTACAGGAAGATGTCAAATATCTTTCCATCGGTCTATGTTTTCATTCTTCCTGTAGCAAAGCTGAAGATACTATACAGTAGTATACCTGTGTTCCAATGCGTAAATTTAGCAGATCCTAATGCAAGCCTCTCCTACATAACGAATATACATAGCCTAAACATGGCCGGCAATCAACAACGAAGAGAAGACATGAAACTGTCACTTGATCTGGCTTTTTATTACTCTTGAGTGGGGTGAAGAGTCTACTGGCTGAGTCAAAAAGTTGGTCGGATGCTGGTGGGTCGCACAGGGGTGGCAGTTCCCAGTCGGGCCGAGGATTCCGGGAAATCGTGACTGTGACTGTGACCCCCGCTGCTGCTTTCAACGGGCCTACTTTCAACATCTTTCCTCGACCACCAAGAACACCAAGAGCAACCACGATGTACATACAATATCTTACTCGCAGCAGCAAGCTGTCCACGACGTATCTAAGCTCTTCCGTCTTGTTACTGTCAATCTAATCTTTTTCAGGATTTCTTGTAGATACTGTATCTATCATGTTTATGGCACTGGCAAGCGACGTATCCTTCTCCTTTGACCCAATGTGCATATGCAAGCCCCAAATCCGTGCGGAATTAGAATTAGTCTATGGTGACGGGTGATGCAAGAACCCTTGTCGGCCCTTCAATAGATCTTGGCTTCTCAAGCCTTCCGAATGACTAGTACAAGCTGCCCGTCAAGTAGTACTAGGGTGGTCGATAAGTTTATTTTGGTAAGACCTCTTCTTCGGTTTGCGGTTTACCTCCGTGCATTGTGCTCTTGGATGTCAAAGCCAGCCTTCTGAGCTGGGGAGACTACTAATTTTGTTTATATCGAAGACTCTCTTTTGGGGATTGTTCTGATCTTCTCCTTCAGCTTTTTCTAGACATTGGCAAGACGATGTCGTTTCCAACATAGCAGCTGAAGAGACCCGGTGACTTGTAAGTTTCGCTTCACTTCTAGATATATTCTTACCGAACGTAAGCGTATAATCTCTCGTTTACGCTACTCTGCCCACCCCCGTGAATCTGATTTGTTCGGTCTCACTCTCTTTGTTTGATACGCTTCTTGTTGATTATCAATCTTCACAGGGCATGTGTATCCTCATCCACAAACCACATAGCTCTAATAGATGCCAGGACCCAATTGGCGACCGGACCGTCGGCTGCTCTGAACATACCGAGACTGGTAGAGATGCATTTGGTAAGGATGATCGTCCTACAGCCAAGCCAGCAGCAGTGACTATGCCTCGATAATACAAGTTTTCGTATCTGTAAGCGGCTCCGACCATCGTTAGTTTTTGTCTTCTTACGGAGTGTGTTGTACGTGCCATCACGATGATTCCGAATTTCAACACCTCCCTGCAGAATTAGCGGTGCCGATCTTATGTACGGTCACCCTCTATGGCGCCGAGGCGACTTGGCGCCTACCGACACCCACAAGCTGGGCCGAGATCCGCAAGTTTCCGAGAGATTAGGACGGTTTCTAGTTCATCGACCCACTAAGTGCATCATCATCTGTCTCGCCACCTACTTGACTCCCGAGCGCAGCAGCTATTCTCGTCTTAAACTTCTATCTATTGTCCTTCGAAATATAATTGGATGGAAGTGCTTAATGACGTTGTCCAGGCCCAACCCCAGTTTCTTTATTCATTTCGTGTGGTACTATACTTATCTAATGGGGTATTACTCTGACGTTCATGGAGAGCGCTGTGAAACGTCATCACAACGACCATAGTTTCTCGCAGGACTCGAGTCGCTCAATGCTGGTTGACAGACAACTCAATGCTGTACAAGTGAAGGACGTCACAAGTCCCTTCTCATACAAGGTCTGACAAACACACAAAAGGCATCTCTGACCGGTACTCTGGTGAGTTGCATGTCTTCTTTTTCCGTCGAGGATGAGGATGATCAGTGTTAACGTTGCAGATAACGATCGACACGCAGACAAGTGCCTCGAGTATATTCCCGTTGCTAAGAAATGACAGTTTTTGTATCATCCGTCTTCTTTCCCTTGACTACGCAAGGGAACCGCCGAAAATGTGAAAGTAGGCATGTTACCAGGGGCACCAATATGAAGGTATTTTGTCCCTGTCGGTGGCGGATGGGGACCTTATACGTTTCCTGCCTTTAGCAGCCGTCCATTGTAAGTGGCTCAAGCCAATCGGCAAGACAACCACTACTCGCACGCACGGAACCTGCTAATGCGCAGCACTTACCTTGTACTATTAGTCCGTAATTCTTTCATTTTCATAAGGATAACGTTACTGACATAAGCCCTCACCTCCACAATCGTCCTCAGCTCACCAGGTAGTGCTATCTGAGATCTATTTGCTGCTGAAAGGTTTCTCGGCCGCCGAAAAAGCACGAGTGCTCGGTATGTTATGTCTCAAAGTACTTGAATGCCGCAGTCTGATGGAAGGCTGAACCCTGCTGAACCTCTAATTAGGCATTGTACCGACACGCCAATTTGAAGGATGGATCCGCCATCCAAACTTCATAATGTGAAGAGACGGTCTCGAATTGATGCTCTGTCGACTATTGCCGCAGAAGCCTTGTCAATGTCAGGACGGAATTGAACAGTATTGCTACATAGTACACCCGCGAGCCTATACTTAGGGCAGGGCAGAGCCCTACCTTAACTGATGAACTTCATCTGATTAGATAGCGAGCATCTCACTCATGTGCCCCCGACATGTTCATCTGAACCCGTATAGCAGCCTGCTGGTGAAGGACCGCTTTATCGCGTCCACGCGCGGCCCAAATATCGCCCTTTGATGGTATTTTTACAGGCTTTACAGGCATGTGGATCCTCTCCGGTAGGCCGCGACCAAAAATCCATCTCCCTCCCTTCAGGTCAACAATTTGAAGTCACATCTATTGTAATGCGACGGCGGTGGCAGTATGCAAATTTTATTTCGTGGATACCGACGAACACCCGCGAAACAACAGCATGCGCAAGAAATACCGATGGGTGAAAATCTCAGCATTGCCAGCATTGCACGTAAGGACGGTCGTGGGTGCACCGAACCTTTGAATGGTATAGATACCGACCATTTCACCATACGTTGCAATGCAGTAGCAGTACCCTGTGTTTCGATCTCCATCGGCACCGAGTCGCCCCAGAACTGGTATAGCCGAAGTCGTCACTTCAAATACTTACGCGTCAACTACGGAGTCCTCGCGTAAAGATTCCCCGTGGCTCGTAACAATCAGTTCCTGGCTATGTAAGTACCTACAGCGATCATTATCGACCTTTTTCCGTCCATAGTCGTGTTCCGTAAGGACAAACCAGTATCCAGAATACGAGAATGACGCAAACAGCGTACACCGTTGCGCGATGTTTCTCTGCTTGTTATCCTCCAAGATTTTAATTAACTGCATCATGATAAGCCTCACCGAAGTGACAATTGCACATGAGCCAGATACTAGACCTCTTCTGCATTGTGCGGTTGGGACTATCACGGGTAGTGAGCTGTGAGTAAAAAACTCCTGGAAAGGTCATGTGGCGTTTAATTGGTTTTGCGAATAGGGTCACACCCGAGTAAGTATATACCATCACTTCGATCGATCCATGTTGGTCAAAAACTCGCTTGTGCTTCTCCCATATGCTTCTATTGACTCGATATGAACTTGTGCAGGTCCGTGATTTGTCTTTCAATTTTAATCTCATTCATGAACCTGAGGCACCTTTCCAGATCTGGTCTGCTCGCGAGGTAGCCATCGTGTGTGTCCCGGTGCTTCACCGAGGGCATGCGAAAAAAAGTTTCGGTTTGGCTATTTCTGCTACATGGAAGAGACATAGATTTTCCGCATCTAGGTTCCTTTCTGGTTTAACCTTGGGAGCGACATATCTGGAAGTCCGCCTGACCGGAGTCAATTCTTTGGCTCACCTCGTGTGTTATGGCGTCGCTTCCAAGAGTTTAGGTCAGCGATAAGCCAAATCTTTAAATACGAAAGTTCTCTGTCTGTCAGATCCCCCAAGAGTTTCCCCCTTCATTCGGTTTCCCTGCCATGGACGCTGTCTCTGCTACTTCCATCGCCATCTCCAAGAGAGCCTATGGAGAAGAAGACAACAAATGGCGAGCCTACTACGCCGATGAGTACCCTCATCAGCTGTGGTGGCTGGTGTCATGCTTCATCGCATTCGTCGCCGTTTGTCAATTGACGTCGTTCGTCGTTGGGAAATACCAGGTTCGCTCCAAAAATGCACCGCTCACGACGGAGAGCAACAAGATCCAGCTTAGTAGGTTGCCATTAGCCTTGGTCAACTACTGGCGCGTCCTTTCATTCCGTGTTCACATTGGCGTTGGGTCATATACGTTGAACCTGGCCGAGGTTTTCCTCACCTGCGCTTATATCGTCGCGCTTTTCACTTGGGAGTTCATTAACAGTAAGAACTCTTCCCTTTTTCTTCCACAGATCAGTGACTTGCCTTGTTCTCTTAGGCACAACCGTTGCTGGTGCCAAGTTCAGTGCCACCTACCTTGCCGGCCGGGCCGGGAGTCTTGCTACATCCCAATTTCCACTGGTGACTGCGCTTGGAACGAAGAATAATATTGTATCATGTACGTGTCCTTACCCCAACGGGCTCAGTTCATTACTCATGTCTCCACACAGTAATCACGGGTGTCAGTTATGACAAAGTTCGCGCCATTGCTCCCTCCATTAACATTCGTGCTGATCATGTTGTAGCTCAACTATATCCATCGCATGGCGGCCAGGGTTTGCTTCATAATGCTTTGGATTCACGGCGGGTACAAGGTTGGTAGTATTCTCTATACTTGGAGCAAATCGCTGATACAAATTTTCTATGCAGTTTCAGCGGTCAGTCTTCGTCAGGAGCCTTTTGAACTATGCGGCTGAATATGTCACAGTGTGGAGGGCAAGTACGAACTCCTCTGGGTCCGAATGGCGTTGGTGGCCATCTCCGCTTTCTCTCTTTTGATCTTGGTGTCTTTGCGGCCTGTTAGGGCAGGAGCATATGAGTTTTTCTTTTACGCCCATTTCCTTATGGTCTTGTAAATGCCCGTTTCCTCTTTGGTGCTTCTGTTATGTTAATGTTTTTTTTTCCCCTTAGGATCTTTCTCATCGGAGGGTACTACCATAGCAAGAATTTCGAGTACGCCCTCTACTTCCGATGTTGTTGACCAGTGTTATTTATTGAGTCATAGATTCGACTCCTACGTATGGCCCTCCTTTATTATATGGGGCCTTGATCGCGTCATACGAATGCTCCGTGTTGTTGTTTTCAATCATTCCTACTTTGGGTTCAAGGCTGGACATGGTACTTTCGATGCTAGCGTGGAACGTCTATCCGAGCACTTTGTTCGCTTGACTCTGAAGCGGCCCCCTCACTTCCACTGGCGTCCGGGCCAAACCGCCTACCTTATCACGCCAGGAGTTTCTCGCTTGCCATTCGAAGCCCATCCTTTCACGATTGCTAGCTATGATTCCAGTTACGACTCCACCGAGAAATCTACCGATGTTGAGAAGGGGTCTGATTCCGTACTTGCTAAATCGTCGTCTAAATCTTTTACCCCTGGAGGAGAGAAATACTGGAAGGAGCTAGTGTTCCTGGTGAACGTTAGGGAGGGCTTCACCCATCGATTGGCCACTATCGGAACGGATAAAGGGACCGTAAAGGTCTTTGTTGACGGACCGTATGGTCCTTCGCCGGATCTCAGCTCATTCAATACCTCTGTTTTCGTCGCCGGTAAGCGTATCCAATCCGAATATGTATCCATCCCTGACTTATTGCTTTTAGGTGGTACTGGAGTCTCGTACACGCTTCCGTTGCTACTGGACACCATAGAGTAAGTGTCGTAACTGGTTCTTAATATCTAACTAATCTTTCTACATTAGGCGTGTCCGCGATGGAAAGAGCATATGCACCAAAGCGGTGTTTATCTGGGCAATCAGAGATACGAGTACGTCCGTTTCTGTGATTCTATCCACTTGGTGCTTATTTCCGTTTAGCCCATGTGTGCTGGATATCAAATGCAATTTCTAACGCGTTACTTCGGGTACCTCCATCAATGAATGTGGACATACGCATCTACGTCACTGGCGGTTCTCCCGAGTCTGTTCAATGGGATACTACATCTGTTGATTCCGACACTGCGTCACGTAATGGGCCACCGTCATTCCTTGGTCTTGACTCGGTGAACGTATATCAGGGGCGTCCAGATATCTCGCAACTGCTACCCGAACAAGCAGAGGCGACCAGGGGCGGTCGTATGTCTGTTACGGGTGCGTTTGCATTCTCTATCTCTACCTCTGTACTAAAAATAAATTCAGTGTGCGGTTCGAGGGCCGTTGCCCAATCATGCAGATCGGCTCTTCAGTTCCCGCTACGAAATGCAGCTACCGTTCTGAGAGGCGGTGCAAGTGTAACGCTGCATGTGGAGTCCTTTGGTTATGCTTAGAGACCACGTTGGATTCATTTTCTTATCGATAGATTGTATATCTAGTTATAGACGACTGGCATGTCTTTTGTATCTTGATTCTCATTTAGCGTACTTATCGCGGGTTGGAACTGTGCGAGTCTCCGGCACCTTCGGTGCGGAACAGTTTGGAAAGACCGCTGCCAAGAGCAAAATCTCAGTCTTCAGGACAGTGATCTTCGGAAGGTTATTGGAAGGTCTAGACCTGAGGAGATTGATGTGGGGTGAAAATCACTGCGGAAATCAATAACAATTGTAAGCAAACAACATATTACATCGGGAATCATCTGGAATCATATGCACTGCCCATGACATGACCATATCCGAATCCAAATCTTCATCATATCCAAGAGTACCCAAACACAGGTTTCCGCCCCCAGTTAGGCTTCCGTTTTCAAATGGGTGTTCTCTACCAAATTCGTGACCCAATGCAATAGATGTGAAGCGATGAATTGGGGTCATGGCGGAGATGGCCTCCCGTTTGTTCGTGCGGCGCTTGCCATTCGGTCTGGTAATCGTGACAAAACGAGTATCGATCTGCATGTTATCCATCCTTTCCTGCAGTTTCTGGCTCTGCGAACGAACGAACGACACGAGGAGGAGCCGGCGATGCTTGCGAGACACGTTGTGAATAGCTACGTAGAGCACGAGGAAGCGGAGTCGGTGTTGTAGCGCTATATGTTACCCTACGCCTCTTCGATGGTCTATCTTTCTCTTCCTCGTCAGCCTTGGTGTCCCTCGTGCGGAGAGGCGAGCCAATGGGCTTGCAGGCAGCTACAGTTTCCTGATCTCTCTTCGCCGTCCTCCATTGGTAATTCACCTGACCGCATTCTCACAGTTTTCGGAGCAGGAGGGGCATCTCTGCGTAAACCCACAATGACTTCGATGGAATTCCGGATGAAACTGTTAGAGCGGTTCAGGTTTACATCAATACGAAGCAAAGGGGGAAGTCTGGCATTGAGTGTGGTAGCAACCTGAGCCAGTTGGGGACGCGACGTGGTGAGAAGATCTTCGTGACAGCAGAAGGGAACGGTGTCAAGAGTGGTAATTACGATAGCATCTTCACAGGCGTCTTCGTTCTGTAGGGCGATATTTCCTGGCGTTAACGTAGAATGTGGATTCCTAAAATCACGTTGAGCGGGCGGTATGTCAAAAGCAGGGTCAGCATCTCTAGAATGATGTTTTTCGAGAGCCACAGAAGAGGATCTATATAAATCTAGCCTGAAGAATAGTTTGCGGACAGGTGTGAAAGGATTAAAGAATGTTCTCCTGTGCTTCGTAGTGGATGATGGTGGTTCGAAAAACAAGAAAGGAAAAAGAACGATCATGGATTTATGACGCATCGATCACAGCTTCACCGGGCTGCGGAACTTGAAGAGCCACCTGGTTATTTATATATTCATTCAGTACTTTTCCATCAGAAACCAAGGAATTCCCGCAAATTTTGGAGGTCTTGGTAAACGCTTCCATTTCTTGATTCGTTGATTGAACTTCGAGCTGTTGCCACCAATAGAGTCAGGAAGGTTTGAGGCAGTGGAGATAGTTAATAATTATGTTATCATTGAGCCAAGATACTTCTCCTGCGGAGCTTGATAACGCATAGCCCCGACTTGGCGACTACGGAAAGAAGATCAGGATTCATCATTCAGCATTACTAACTGGGACGCTTGGGACTTCAAGGAGATAAAAATTTCTTCAATGTGTACGAGAGAGGCTTGGCGGGTACGCAGTGGCCTGAGAGATGTGGCGGCAAAGGCCAGAAAATCCTGTGCCAGTTGATGACCCGACTACTTACTCCAAAATCGTACGTTTGGGAAAACTTGGTATGGTCGATCCTTTGAAAGATTACTTTTGATTCTTGACCTCCAGTGCTCAAGCCTATACGTAGTTGTCAATCTCACGGCCACAATTACAACACAATCTGATTCTGATTCACAAAGAGGACATTAAATAATTTACACGTCTATTAGGCTCGCAGCTGCTGTCCGTACTTAAAAATTCATATTTATCAGTGGTATAATTCCTCATGAGACCCGGGTTAAGAAGCATTCAGCAATGATGCCACCTCACTTAACCAATGCATGAAATCCGTATCTGCATAGTCAAAGGCGTGATCTTCATCCAACTGGCTCAAGAGCCATCCCAGCCACGGCATCCATTGCGTGTCGAGCGCAGAGAGAATTCTCGCTGCTTCGATGCCCCACTGTTTCCTCGCCCACCACGGGCCATCCTTCGCCACCCGCTTCATCATGACACAGAAATGCGCCAAGATAATCAATGCACGTGGCTTCCCCTCTGCTAGTAGGCGAAAGAACCTCTTAGGTGCCATTGTCCACCAGAAAGCCACTGCGTTCCAATTCTCAGATGAGGCTTTGCATGATATCTCGAGAATTCGTATTGATTCCTTATACGCAGCATACACCGATACGTCGTGTAGCTCCTCAAGGTCTGGTGACGAGTGCGCTGTGCTCAGAAGTGTCGACAAGGATGATGAAAAGGATTCCTCCAGCGGTGTAGATATGGTTGTTGGCGCTTTTACGAGTAACGCCGGGCGCAGAACACCTTCTCGGAGCTGTGGCCAGATTTTTGCAACCTCGCAAGTGATATTACGGACTGTGATATGCCAGCCGCTCATGGATAAGGAGACGATGGAGGATGTAGCGAACTCGTACATCGCGAGAAGGGACAAGGTGATAAAAATAGCACCAATATCCGTCTCCCCGTCCGTCTCTGCCTTGTGTAGCCCCATCTTGGCTTGCCAGTGGTAAGTGCTCGCGGCTACGGCGTACCGATCTGCCGTGGGATCAGTATGGTAAACGTGAAGCGCGGACACGGCGAGAACAGCGTAAAGGAGACATTGGTTTCTAGGATCGAACACGAGTTTGGGAACGATGGTAGTCCAAACATTGGATGTAACAGGATCAGAAGCAAGTGTGTGAGAAGTAGTGGTAGAATAGCGGTGAATTAGCTCGAGAGTCAGTAGGTCGAATGAACCTGTTGTGCCAGTTATTGTGGAAGGGGAAGTTTCAGGGGAACTTGATGGAGTACGGGGAGATGTCGCTGGTACCAGCGAGTGATACGGTGGGGTATCGATCCAGACACATTCTATGCATCTCCTGGTACAGTTCTTGCAAATAGGAAATTCTTCATCGCACTTCATTTCAATATCTGAGTTAATTATAGAAATGCTGACACAATAAACACATACCTTGACTTTGCGTTGTTTGCATGTTTTGCATCCATTTCGTGTTTTACGGTGGGGGCGAATTGGTGGCATATTAATATAATACTGGCTGGGGTCGCCCCTGCAAAGCTGTGGACGGAGTTTAAACTGAGTCCAATTTTCATGATCGGCCGTTTTGTTTTTGTTTTTCCTTCCTTTTTTCCTCCTCTGTGGACAGGACCGGTGAGAACATTCCTCATCACCCTCATCTTGTGCCATACCATGAACTCACATTTTGTGCTCCCCCAACATCCTTCTTCCCCCTCTGTCCCTTTTTTTCGTCTGTGAAGTTCAGTTTCTGGCCGGCCCGCGGCATCGGACCGTTGGGCCATGTGGTCCCTTCGGCGCTTTCATCCGAGCTAGCCGGTCCCGTTCTCGTTCACTTTGGTTGACTATTGCACTGCAGGAGCCAGAGGCCCTTTTTGCAGTGAGTGTCACTTTCTGACTCTCTCAGATTGTTTTCGATCTACTGCTCCTCAAACGGTAACCTCGTCGGTCGTGTGTAGCGGGAAATTGAGAGGATATAGATCTCGTAGCCAGAGTTCTGTACTATACAACACAACTTTCACCGGGGCTGACCGTGATGCGAAAAAATGATGACAGTATGCATCGCTCAGGACATGGCTGTATCAAAATCCAAATTCCCGCTATCCCCAAGAGTATCTAAATGCCCTTTTCCATCTCTTGCCAAGCTCATCAGTGCTTTCATTTTCCGAGGTTGTAGCCGTGAAGCGATGAATTGGGGTCATGGCGAAAATGGCCTCCCGCTGAAATTTCGTAGGAGTCGACAATCTGGTCGTACGGCGCTTGCCATATCTTGGTCTGGTAGTGGTCACGAAACGAGTGTCGATTTGCATGTTATCCATCCTTTCCTGTAGTTTCTGGCTCTGCGAACGAAGGATACGAGTAGGAGTCGGCGATGCTTGCGAAACACGTTGTGAATAGCTACGCAGAGCACGAGGAAGCGGAGTCGGTGTTGTAGCGCTATATGTTACCCTGCGCCTCTTCGACGGTTTATCTTTCTCTTCCTCATCCTCTTCTTCCAGTCTCGTTAGCCTTGGCGTCCCTTGTGCTGAAAGGCGAGCCAATGGACTTGTAGGCGGGGTACAGTTTCCTGATCTCTCTTCGTCGTCCTCCATCCGTAATTCACCTGACCGCATTCTTACGGCTTTCGGAGCAGGAGGAGCATCTCTACGTAGACCGACGATGACTTCGATGGAATTTCGGATGAAGCTATCGGAGCGGTTGAGGTTTACATCAATACGAAGCAAGGCGGGAAGTCTAGCGTTGAGCGTGGTAGCAACCTGAACCAGTTGGGGACGCGACATGGTGAGAAGATCTTCGTGACAGCAGAAGGGAACGGTGTCAAGAGTGGTAATTACGATGGCATCTTCACAGGCGTCTTCATTCTGTAGGGCGATATTCCCTGGCGTTGACATAGAATACGGATGTTCGAATTTGGGCTGTGTGTCGACGAGAGGGTTAACTTCGCTAGAGCCGTGTCCTTCGAGAGCCACAGAAGAGGGTTTAAACAAATCTAGCCTGAAGAATAGTTTGCGAACGGGCGTGAAAGGATTAGAAAATGTTCTCTTGTGCTTCATAGTGAATGATGGTGGTTCGAAAATAAGAAAGGATAAAGAACGGTCATGAGTTATGACGCATCGATCACAGGCCGATCGCTTCAGAAATTAGATTTTCTATTGATAGATAAGTTTCCTGAGGAATTTGCACGAATGTCGGAGGATCGTTGCGAACGATCTTGTTTGTAAGATATTCCACCATATTGCCGTCAATAGAGTCAGGAAGGATTGAGGCGGTGGAGACACTTAGGTAGAGATGCTCCTCGAGTGGGGCCCCGTAATACATGGTATATGGTAGTTCAAATTCGCAGATACGGAGAGAGTGCCGGAGTTATCGACTGGGGCGCTTGTGATTCCGAGGAGCTTGGCACCCTGTTTGCTCATGCGTACGTATCAGAAAAAGACAGGGAATGGTGTAGGTGAACAACTTCTTTATCCTACTTTAAGGGACCATTTAAATAATATCATTGATATCAGTACATGTACCTTACTAATGGAGTAGACCGTACTCACACTTAGACCCGACACATACTATTCGTTGTCACCGTGAAACTAGGGACATGTTTTGTACGCTCTATGACCGTATTGTTACGTCGTATCCGTAACGATGCAAGGCACATCCGTACTTCGCACCCCTTAGCAGCCTAGCGTTGTAAAAATATTAAAGGGGGACCATAAGGTAATGAAACAGTGCCTTGCTATTTACTATACAATTGCGTATGACATCCGGAAAAGTAATGTACTGAGAACCAAATCTGTCACTTCCTTCTAACATACCTTCCATCTCCACGCATAGCCTCGGCCTCAATCTCCCTCCTCTTCTTCTCATGCATCTCCTTCGCCCTCTCATTGATATTCTCCGTTTCTTGGGTATCCGGGAACCCAATATCCCAATACCCCGGCGGCGTCCCACCCTGCGCCCAATTATACCGATGTCGCGATATTCCCTTCTTCCTACGCACAGGAGAAGGCGTAGCGTTCTTCTTTGGTGACCGCCACAGCGGCTGCTTCAAACGTTTCGGAAGAGGCCCGACACCTTCGTAGTACTATGTGAGGAAGCACTGATGAGGAGCACGTTTCAAAAGAAAAGAAAAATACGAACGTCACGACAACACTCGCAATCTCCAGCATGAAGTTTTCGTCGCTCGCCCTTGTTGCGGACAACAGCATCAAACTGGAAGTCGAGTCCGTTGTTCCGGTTTGGATCGATGGCAAAGGTTTCGTTGATCGTCTTCTCTTTCGAATCTTTTGCGTATCGTCCACGACCCTTGAACGCTGAATAGTCGTTCGTCTGTTTGGCGTTACGCGCCGCGGATACAGATGACGCGGCTTTCTCCTTCTCTTTGCCTTTTCCTTGTGGTGCAGATGGCGTGGAGTGAGGACTGTCATGTTCGTGACTGAGGCGGCGAACTTTCCGCGGTGGCACCGAGGTAGTCTTCGGTTTCGTCGGTGTCGATGGGGCTAAGATACTGTCAGCTTTGTATGTAGAATTCCGATCCCGTCGGCGTACATTGCTTTGATAAGAGGACGAGTGTAGAGCGAGGTCCGCGTCGCTTGATATCCAAGTTTGGGACATTGGAAAGCCGCGCCGACGGTGATGTCAACGGGGCTAGAGACGCAGCCTGAGCGTTTTAAAAATGAATTGTATGGTTGATCGTACCTTGACCTTGAAAGAGCACTTTGGACTGCGGGGTCGGGCTTGATTCCCCGACTAGAACAGAACGACTCGTCAGAGATGACAAGACGAGAGATGCAAGGAGCAAGAATACCAAGAGAGTCCTCTTCCGTGTCTGATGAACTTGGAACAAGAATGGAGCCGTTAGCCTTGGGGCTGAATAATCTAATGAACCAGTAAGCGTGATGGAAACAATATGTAGGCCGGCATGACTTACAGCGGTGATGGAATTGTGGTCTTCGAAGGACCGGCTGAAGTCACTCCATTGATGAGAGAGGCTGATGGAAGCGGTGACGGTGAACTTGGAGTTCCAGGTCGCTTGGAAGGAGTTGGCGGGAAAATTGCCCTATGGTAACTGTTATAGGGTATCAACATGTCAACCGGTAGGCCCATACGTAGTTATAGGCACTGGCGCAAGGCTGGAGCCATTGGGCTTTGGGCTGAATAATCTAAGGGACCATTAAGTGTTATTGAAGCGATACATTCATTAGTCACCTACTGCGGCAATGAAGTCGTGGTTTTCGAGGGACCAACTGGAAGCGATGCCGAATTTGGAGTTCCAGGTCGTTCAGAAGTGTTTGGTGGGAAAATCGTCCTGCGGTGACTGTTATAATGTATCAACATGTCAACCAATAGGCGCATACGTGGGTATCGGCGTTGGTGTGAATTCAGGTTCATTCTCTTTGTTTTGTCGATACAAGTTCTTATCCTCGTATGGGTACGAAGCTACTTGAGGATAAGTGAAAATATTCCCACATATTAGATTATCATGCTCACCGTCGTCCGCATAGAGCAATGGCCCTATCTGCTCCCACATCTTCCCATTGTCAGCCAATCGCATAAAAATATTCCGTCGAAACTCGTTGTCCTTTTCCGCCTCTATCTTGGATTTTGCCTTGCATTCTGTATCAAACAGGAATGCCTTGAAGTCGCGCCATTTAGTGTAGTCTCGTTTGTATATTGCGGCGGCGCGTTGTTTCTTGTCCAAGAGTTCATCGTATCGCGACTGAAGCGCCTTCAGCTGGGCCGCTAGTAGACGTGTTGATGGCGAAGAGGATGCTGGAAGGTCCCTATCGGAAATATATTTTCTGGCTATAATTGCCAGACAGTTAGGATAAAACATACTTTGTCTTCTCCAAGAGTTGGTTTCTCTGCCTTACAACATCATCCAGCTGAGTCTGTAAATGGTCCCTTTCGTCTGTCGTACGACGGAGCGCCTTTTCTAGATCCTCTATCCGAGTTAACGCATCACTGTACTTCGTGCCATGCTCAGCGTTGTCGACTACGAACAATGCCTCCTGCAAGTCGCTAAATCCAAGGGCCCTGACGAGGTGCCCTGTCCTGTTCGTTACGTCGCTGAGACGGTTCAGCGTGTCCTCAGCTGAATGCTTGAGTCGGTCATACTTGGCCTCGTGTGCCGCAATTTCTTTACGGTGCTTCTCATTGAGGACCTTGTCGCGCTCTCGCATGTGCGCGCTGGAGAAAGTCGCGCCGTCCATGCGAGGCCGTCGGGGGTGATGGTAGTAAGAGTCGAAGAAACGTGGGAGCCGGCACGCGTCACGATCAACATACAATCCTAACCTTGTACCGCCACCATGACCACGATGCGGCGGCCACTGACACCAGTGACGAACTCAAGGCTACCGACGTCGCCATTAATAAAATCGAGCGTTTCCTCCCCTTCTGCTCCCCAGCAACAGCCCAAAACGCCCTTGCCACTGCGAGCGATACCCTCCACCCTCGCAGTCAAGTCATCTCCTTCCGTACCTCCTGCATCTGCAGCGTATGAGCCGCTTATCAAAGCCGTCCTTCGTCAACGGCTTCTTTGGAGGATTTTTTTGGGCTCTATCGCATTTTGTTGGGTCCAGACGGTGGCATGGACAATATGGTGCCTTGGTGGTATTGAGGAACTGGGGATTGGCGGGGTGGCAATGGTTCCGGTGACGCCGTCGACGTCAATGATGGCATACGTGTGTTGGGTAGCGGTAGCCTTACCTATCGTGGTGCTAAGAAAAAGGCATCTTACAGGTCCGTCGACGCGCTCTCACCGAATTTATCTGTTGATTCAGTTTTCCTTAGGTTATCACTCAACGTCAAAGACTCCTTTAAAAACATTGCAGAATGCTCTGGCAAAACAGGGCACTAGAAGCGCATTCTTGGTTTATCTTTCCTCTGCAATCATTGCGACACTTCTCCATGTATCGATGGCTCGAATGTCCAAATCGAATGACCCCCGACTGTCAGTATTTGTCAAATCAAAGTGAGCGGGTGATGCGTATGTTCACTATTTTCGTGTCTGACTGGACCAGGAAGCACCCATATTATTTGAATGGTCGGCTGGTGTTTCTTTTAACATCTCAGGTTATTGTTGCATGCTGTTCTATACTCCGAAACATCATGATGGATCGTTTTGTCTTTCGATGGCCCTCCTCTTTTGTAAGCATCCTATTTTTCTATTCATGAACTGTATGGCTGAAGTATTCTGCAGAATCAGACCCCAAAATCTGCAGTTACGCTCGGCGACTTCTTGCGGACGCTGGTCATAGTAGCTCTCCTCGCATCCGTTTCCGTGCCCACGTCTGCCGCTATATTTGCTATTGCACGGCTCACGCTTCCCATGCTTTACCGCCTACCACTGCTTCATCTTGTCCTGCGGCCATTCACAGCTCATTTCCTTCGGGGGTCTTGGACAATATTTTTGCCCATTCAACACTTCGCTCTTCTGATAAGAGCATGGTTCCTGGCATTTTCAACCTTGGCAACCTGGGAGGTCGCAGAACTACTATTTGATTCCTTTATCAGCCAGCCCATTCTCGTATCACACATGACAGCGGACCCATCAGTAACCCTTGTGTCGGGAGTGGCTTCCTCTGATATAATCCTCAAATATTTCGCATTTGCCGAACTAAACGAGCTATCTTCCGACCTGTCTCCTTCAGCAGGCGCTCGTCGGACAGCTCTCTTCGGAGATCAGAAGTATTCCCCCAATCTCTGGAGTCATCTATGCAGGGAGAGCCTTCTGGTTCTCGGGAGAGATTACCAGCATTTCTTGCGGAGAGGAGCGCCCCCAACCATCCCACCACCTCTTGCAGTAGCAACTGCAGCGCAACCACAACCACCACCCTTCCTATCCACCCCAGTATCTGTAGTCAAACAGCTCATTTACAAGCAAGCGAAACCGTCTCCCATCAGCAGCGTCATTGATTCCCTTGGTGCGGACGGATCATTCGCGCAAGCAGTCGAAGCGGGTGCGGAAGCTGCACACATCCCGGACTTGTTTAAGTCAGCGAGTACTGCTTTACCCGTTCCAACAGAGGTGACGAAAAGCGTAGAAGAAGCCAAGGATTATTTCGGGAATATCAGGAAATCTTTGGGTAGTGCCATTCACCGGTACACGCCTGTTGCTGTGCAGGAGGCATTTGGAGCATGGGTGAATTGGTGGACGAGGGAGCGGATAAGTAAGGTCGTGGAAGGATCCTTATCCAGGCGTGAACTTGATCTTCTTGTCATCGAAGGTACGATGGCATTCCTTCTCGGAGTATTCCGGATGCTGATTTGTCTTTTGATTTTATTAGTCCTATCACGTTTAACGTGTTCGTCCCTGACAGAAGATCGATACGGGGTCGTCCAGCGCGATATTCCCAAAATCCTTGAGGCGATGCTCTCCTTCTTGTCAGCGATAGAAGATTACCAGATTGAACTGAATGCTCTGCGACCTCCGCCACCAGAAGAGGAGGAAGGCCTATCGGATAAAGAAAGAATGCAACGCGAGGTTCTTCGGATAGAGTTGGCTAAAGCTAGTGAGGCCCTAGGATACCTCGGTGATGGTGAGTGTAGTGAGTTTACGCTGGTTGTATGGACTAACGGGGATTGGATGTAGGATTTAAGAATGGCATCGCGCGTGTTGTACGGACGTTTGGGGGTAAATTGAATGCATTCAAGTTCCCACCGCGCACTGCGAACAAGCTGCAAGGGTTTGTAGATTATAATCAGTAATCATGATCGATTTTTGCTTCTGTCAGCAGGCAGTTCTAGTTCATCGTCAATCAGCAATTCGCCACAAATAGCTACCCGAGTCTAGGTACAGGGACTATGGTACATCAAGAGGACGCAAGGCATCACTCACTCACTTTCGTGCAAAGAAGATCATCAGAAGTGCTAACATCAGGTATCGTTTCCGTTTACTACTCCAAGCGACTGGTGTAGAATTGAATGTTTTGCTTTCCAAGTTCACACACTTTATGCAAGACATTTGCTCAAGCATCATGTTATGTTCCATAGAATTGTCAAGGCGTGGAATACTCCCATGGCGCTTATCACTGATGATGCAATAAGTGTAGAGGTGCCTGATAAAGTCAAGAGTCAGCAGCATTCAGCCCGGAAATAGTTAGGAAATTTGATATGGAGCGGTGACTCGTCTCGTTCCCCGTAAGTGTGTCGGGAGCGGCGACCTTAGCATGAACTCGGCACATCTGAGGTCCCCCCTTGTATTGATAATCTGTTCCTTGGGTATTTTTGTGACTATCGGTGATGATTGGTCTATTAGGTGGCTCTTGCGACGTACGTTCATTCAGGCGGCGGTCTTGGTTTATTACTGACTGACGAACAGTGTTCTTGCCGACCGAACAGGCCTTACACTAATCTAGCTCGCTTTCCAGGGCCATGGCACCTAGCACCTGCTTACTTGCTGCTCATCCAGATTCTACAGGTAGTAACTTTGCAATGCCGACGGCATTCCTAAGTAGTAAGTGTACGTTGTTTTCTCGGTCTGTGGTTTGACGCTCATTTCGTAGGACACGGCTATCAGCTTTCCGAACCTTGTGCATCATGGTATCAATCATGGAAGGTTAAACGAAGAACACCGCTTGGTCGGGGATCCTTCACCGTTGTACGTTAGCTTTTTATTGACTTTACTTGATATCAGACATGGGCACGACTAGGTCCATCGATCATCGCCGGAACGGCAGAGTTGGCGTGGATGACTACACGAACTCTTATACGATTACTCGCGGTGCCGCGAAAATTCGCGTCTCCACAGCATAAGGACCACCGGTGCATCAATTGAGACCGAGATTTGGTTATGTTATGCTCCGAGGAACCAACTGCCAATCCAAAACGCGAGGTGTTGCGTAGAGATGGGTGACAACTGGAACGCAGCTTATTTCTCAAGTGCGTAATGGCGACGTTTTGTAAGAGTGATTCTTTGAAACAGCAGTCCCAGTCATGCTGAGAAATGAATACATAGGTGACGAGAAGTGCGATCTACTCTAACGAATGGCGCGCTCCTACCTCAAACCGAACCCCAAGGAACGTACCTCAAGCGCTGTTCAAGTTTAGACACCAATGCTAGCTTTCGGCAGCAGCATGTTGGGACGGCATACCGGCGCCGCTATGGAAATCAAAACTAACTCAACACACCATGTTTGTATGCTGTAGCGCGCTCTACATCAAGTATCTGCTTCGTTCTGGATCCTACGGGACTGAATGGATTCACAATGTCCCTCGCGGGCTTTGGGCTCGTGCGAGTGGGTGGTCCAGTTCACTCTCACGCGGCTGGATTATGCCTTTCATGATGGTGAGTTCATGACCGTCTTGACAATGGTAATGCCGAAATTATATTACACCAGTACAGCCTCATCATCGGCTTTACATAACTGCTAATATGCCAGCGTCGCGATCTCTCGCGGTTGTGTGAAGGAAAGTAATAGTTCTGCATGACTTGACTCATCATATGTTTCACATTTTGCTTTAAAAGACGCTGGTCGTATTCGTTGTGGTTCATTGACCATCGTTCTTTGCTGGTTATCCGAGATGAAGGCTTCTGGCGCGATCTTTACCTCTCTCCTAGCACTCTCCCTGGCCTTCAATGCTGCTGGACATCCCAATAATCCAGGCCGGCTACGTCGGCGGCAAGTCATGCGAACGACATCTATACTGAATGGTAGGTGAACACTGTTCGTCTGTGATTCCGCTAAAGCTTCGAGTAGATCCCGCACCCCAACCAAATCTGCCAACTACCCAAGAAGCTCAATCAGCAGCAGCATCCGTTGGTTTAAACTTAACTGATGTCCAGGCAGATATCTTGTCAGTGAATTCAAGCTCTCTTCATTATTCCTTGAACTGATGCGAAGCGATACAGGGTGGGAATGAAGAAGAAGAAAGAACTCTTTTTCTTTTTCGGTATTCAAAACACGACTGACTTTAAGAACAAGCTGGCGACGGATATCCACCCTCTCATTACTTCTACTACCCAAATATTGGACGTCACAACTCAGCCTCTAACAGCAGTCAATCTCGCTTTTTCCCAGTCAGGACTTTCTACACTAGGTATCACCGACAATTTAGGCGACCAGTTCTATTCTCAGGGACAGGAAGCTGATTCTGCTGCCATCGGTGATCCCGGAACTGGGAATTGGGTGCAATCGTTTGCAGGAACCTCTGTTCATGGCGTTTTCTTGCTTGCATCAGATACTCTTGATAATGTCAACGATACCCTGTCAGACCTCTTGTCAACTTTGGGAGATTCCATCGCTGAGCTACATCGTGTTCAAGGTGAAGCTCGCCCTGGATCAGAGGAAGGCCACGAACGTAAGTCTTCGCAATCCTTCGATCCATCTTGATGATGATGATGCATGTGCAGATTTCGGATTCATGGATGGAATAAGCCAGCCCGCAGTCATAGGGTTCACACAATCACCTCTACCCGGCCAGCTAGCTGTCGATGCAGGGGAAATTTTACTGGCCGAGGACGGTGATAGTACTACTCGTCCCTCCTGGGCTAAAGATGGCTCGTTCCTGGTCTTCCGTCAGATGGAGCAGCTGGTTCCAGAGTTCAACAAGTTCTTGTTGGACAACCCGATTTCTGAGCCGGGTGTTCTCACTCCCGAAGAGGGATCTGCCTTATTAGGCGCGCGTATGATTGGACGATGGAAGAGTGTATGTTTATCATCCGAGAAAAGATCTACTTCCTGCTGACTTGCGATTTTCAGGGTGCTCCCGTCTATCTTGCACCCTTGTTCGACGATCCTACGTTGGCGTCGGATCCCATGCTGAACAACAACTTCACTTACCACGATGATGATGCAGACTTTAACAACCAGACGCGCTGCCCGTTTGCCGCTCATACCAGAAAGACACGCCCTCGCGGAGATTTCACTCCGGAGGAAACAGCGCATCACATCATTCGCGCTGGTATTCCGTACGGACCCGAAGGTTAGATCCTTTTTGTAGGCGAAACCAGGCGGCTTATAAAATGTTCACAGTAACTGATGACGAAGCAGCGTCAAATACCACCAGTGCTTCTTTGGAACGTGGTCTCGCCTTTGGTTAGTTAAAATGTAGTGATTCGAACGAGCGTCGACTGATTGAGGCTACTATAGTTGCATATCAATCTAACATCGGTAACGGCTTCCGATTTTTGCAACAGTTGTGGGTCAACAACGCAAAGTAAGTAGGCAATTCGATTTTTCCATACCTAATGTCTTGGTCTGAGTACTTAACCCTCTGTAGCTTCCTCCTCCCCAGTACCGGTGTGGATCCTATTATTGGTTCTGCAGGAACCGACCCTTCATCAAGAAGTCGTCCAATTACTGGTTTAGATCCAACAGACCCTGGCCGTGCTATCACGTTGCAGAATGGTGCGTGTCCATTTGAAATTTGAACTGGAAGGTTTGGACTAATATGATCTTTAATCAGACTTCGTTGTCTCGCGGGGAGGAGAATACTTCTTCTCGCCCTCCATCTCTGCTATATTGAATACCATTGCCGCCTAATGTAGTTGTAGACAGAGATGTTGAATTAATATTTATATAGTAAATAAATGAGCTCAGTTTTGTGGACAGTTAGTCACTCTGACCTCTTCCGCATTCTAGACATGAGCTGAAATTCGTCAAAATTCCTTTGAAGACCTTGGATAACGAAGAAGCATTATCTGGACCTTCTGGAGGCTCTAACCAGTAGCGATTGGACAGGGCATGAGTACTCGAATGTCTAAGTGCTATAAAAAGTTACATCGACGTGGAATGGTTTTGGGGTACTGTCTGAATTTCAGACATGAGCCTGCTTTAGGTTTACGAGGCGTACCGGAGCCTTCGCTTGTTCTTCTGCAAGATGAGAGTCGAACTTGAAGGTTTTGAAGTTTGAACAGGGCGTTTGGGGAGTGGGAATATGCACGGTGCGCTAATAAACGTCTCTCGTGTGGATTGTCTAATTCTTCTCTCGAGCGTCCGTCCCTGGTCTTGTCGGCAGAGGAGAATATTTTCAGGGCATGGGACCGTGATATCACGAAAGTTCACAAAGATGGAAATTTAAATTTTGAAACTCCGGCCACAGCAACTGCGGCCATGAGCAAGGGTAACCAGCTCTGTTATGCCAATCCGCACGCACATTAAGACACGAACTGGATGCAAAACATGCAAACGACGCAGAGTCAAGGTATGTACTTATTGTCAGCCTTTGTATAATTAACTCAGATCCTGAACTTCATGAAGTGCGATGAAGAATTGCCTATTTGCAAGAACTGTACGAGGAGAAGCATAGAGTGCGTCTGGATCGATACTTCACAATCTCACTCGGTGGCACCAGGGACATCTACCCGTGCTACATCAAGTACCTCACCTGAAAATTCCCCTTCCACAATATCGAAATGGACCGGTGCAGGTTCATTCGACTTGCTGACTCTCGAACTAATTCATCACTATACCACCGCCACTTCGCACACACTCTCACCTGACCCCGCTAAAGCATGCGTATGGGACACCTCCGTTTCGAAACTCGCGTTCGATCCCAAAAATCATTTTCTCCTCTACGCTATTCTGGCAATGTCAGCGCTTCATGCTTACCATGATGATCCCACGGCCAGTCGGTATTCCGTAGCTGCGAACACCTACCACTGTCAAGCCAAAATGGGGCTACACATGGCAGAAACGGATGGCGGAAAGAATGATGCTAGGGCTGTCTTGATGGCCTTATGTCTTCTTGCGATGTATGAGTTCGCTACGTCATCCATGGTCTCCTTATCCGCGGGCGACTGGAATGTCATAGCCCGCAAGGTTGCGAAACTCTGGCCACAGCGTGTCCTGCGTCCGATGTTATTCATGGTGTCTACATCCTCGGAAGAACCGTTTTCATCATCTCTGTCGACACTTGTGAGCACAGCGCACCCGTCGCCGCCGGATCTTGAGGAACTACAGGACATATCAGTATATGCTGCGTATAAGGAATCGATCCATATCCTCGAGATATCATGGAAAGCGTCACTTCAAAATTGGGACGCGGCGCTTTGGTGGTGGGTAATGGCACCCAATACGTTCTTTCGTCTGTTGGCAGAGAGGAAACCGCGTGCACTGATCATCTTGGCGCATCACTGTGTTTTGATGAAACGGGTGGCGGAGGACGGGCCGTGGTGGGCGAGAAGGCAGTGGGGTGTCGAGGCGGCGAGGATTCTGTCCGCGCTCGACACGCGATGGATGCCGTGGCTAGGATGGCTCTGCAGTCAGTTGGATGAGGATCAGGCGTTTGATGTTGTGGATAGGGATTTTATGAATTGGTTGAGTGAAGTGTCGTCTGCGTCATTGCTTAATGCCTCTTGACCTGGTATGCATTTCATGAGGAATCATACCACTGATTAACTTGAATTTTAAGTATGGACTACGGCTACGAGTCTAATAAAAATAGATGTGTAGATTATCCTGACTTTCTTTTATGACATGCGTATATATCTTTTGCTGTGGTATGTGCTTTTTTTTGATGTAAACGTCTTTTTTATTGCTATTTCGAAAAAGGATGAGATTCTCAAAAAAGAAAAAAAGATTTTGACGCAACTGATACCTGCCCGATCCTGCCCGATCTCGCCCACACCATCTGAGACAACCTACAACGTCAATCATCATGACCCTCTGAGTGCGGGCTCTGAGGTGTTTTAACAGGGACCAAAACTTTTTGATTCTTTTCAGGAATCCCATCATTTTTCAAAATTGCTATAAATAATTCACACCAGTAATATCAACAACTTCTAATTCCCATGCTACGGTGAAATCCACGATGTTATACTACATCCGCTGTTGCTTACGGTATGTTTACTTTATCGACGTCCATTCTCTCGTCATTAATCATCTCGCAGGAACAGTATTAAGCCTGTACGTGCCCTTCAAGATGCGGGAAACTCTGCTCGAGGCCTTTCACTTGAATACCCACTTTCGGCCTTCTCCCTTCATGATCCATTGAAGAACGTCCTCAACCTCGTGTTGAACTTACGCCAGGGTAACGTATCGTGTTACGGCGACCGAGACGAGTGGGTGCCCGGGAACGGTGGCGAGTCTGGGCAGTGGGTTGGAGGAGAAGGATGGGTTTCACTACGTGCAGGAACCTGAAGGATCAGCGTATTCTCCGACTGTGGGAGGAGTTTTAGATTTCATCATGGTAAGTCATTGAGTGTTCAGTCAATACGTGTGCTAAAGCGCTTTGTCCTTTCTCAGGCCCTATCCTTCTCCTCGTGGCAACCTACCTTACAGATAGGACTCACTGACGTCGAACCGGCATTAGGATTTTTTGATCGAGTCAGCAGATTGTGTTCGAAGCAAGAAGGTATATGGACGACGCTAGGTTGGGTGCAGCGTTGGAGAGATTTGAGGGAGAAGGTGGACCTTGCAGAGAGGAATGGGAGATAGCTTTCCCAGGTACGTTGTTGACTCTCCGGCTACGTATCTTTGGCTAATAGTCTCTTCAGCCTATGGACCTCGTCTCTCGGAGCAAATGCCAGTCGTGTTCGTAGTACGTCTGTCATCTTTCAGCTCGCCTCTTATTGAAATTGGTTTTAGAATGGATACGGTGGTGTTCTCGTGTTGCCAATCCTTTCTGACGAACACTCGGCCTTCAAGATGTAGAAAGCCTAACTTGACGCCGTCTTTTGTACCCCCTGACAGCCATCGCGACCGAGGAAATATCCGTCAGGGAGAAGTACTGGGAATGTCGGGTTGTTCCCGGGAGGGAATCATATGGGTATGGTATGGTCTTTTTCTCTCCACCCTACGAGCTCTGCCTGTTGGCAGACTTTTGTGCTTTCTGGGAGCGCAGAAATTCCCTCGAACCGAATTCCTATTCTTTGACTTTCCAGCTGCTGAATCCTTACCTTTTGTGCCCTAGCAGTACGAATATAATCCCCCTACTTTTCCGATTTCTCGTCACCCCCGCCATCGTTGAGAACGTTCATTTTTTGTCATCATCAAGATTATCTGCGCTGGCGATCAGGGTCAAGGCCTATCATTCGTATACGCTCAATGTCTTTATCGCCGACAATCTAGGTGACTAGTTCTATTTTAAAACCGATTCTGCCGCCATGACTCTGGAACCGGCAGTTCATCAGGAAAAAGGCTATTGCTATACAGTATCAACAGCGGTCCATAAAGGTGTGGGAACGTCTGTTCACGGCGTTTTCTTTGTATCGGATAACACTGGTAAACTTGGGTTGAACTGCCTTTTCTCAGTGATTCTGAACGTCGATTGTTTGACTCTAAGACAGTCGCCTACCATTTTGATATCTACTCTACAATGCTTTCATGCACGCCATGAAGGGTCCACTCGATGAGACGTACGCAACCGTCCGATCAAAACGGTACGAACCTTCATGGCCATGGCACACATTGAGGCCGCGGAATTCGGGGCCATTTCTGATCGAGACCTTGTGCCGATACCAACAACACCGTATCTCATCGACCTCTCGAACTCGCAGTAGTATGTGTGCTCGTATCACTTTCAGTATTTCATGTCTTTATTCTGGCTATGACTAGGAATACCCGAAATGGATGAGAACGTTCCGAACAGGTGGCTTCGCGATGATCTTTCCAAAATGCTCCAAAGCAAACCGCTCCCCGATCTGCGTAAGCATGTAAAATCACAAAAGAAGGGTGTTAAATGCTAAAAATAAATATTTAGGGTCCTTCTTGTGGAGTGCTCTGACCGTTGATCTCCTCCCGCCCTCTGGGTTAGGTGAAATCCTCCCGCCCTCTGAGTTTGGTGAAACGACTTCCATTCCAGTACTGAAGCAACGGTCCTACACTGCTAATACACTCGCCATACCATCCACTCTTGCCGACACTCTCTGCACCGACCTCGGCATGGAGGGACTCTTGACGAAGCTCAACACCACCTTCGTACTGCCATACACTTTGTTCCCTCCGTGGATATACTCCGTACTTGAGGACTGCATCTCGAAAAACTATGACTTTGGGACTGCGTTTGCTCATCTCTGCTTATTTTGGCACAACCCGACATATTATATACCAAAGTGGGAAGAGCAGTACCAAAAGATGGTGCAGGATGTACTCGTCGAAGACAGAATCATCTACCCATCTTTACCCCCTCGGCGTGTCTGGGACCTGTACAGTAACCGAGTGGTGCCATGGTGGATTGTCCGGCGATGGCCATGGGGGATATCGCATGCATGGATAGACGAGGAAGACCGCAAGGATGTGTTGACACCCATCAACGGATACGAATGGCCAGTGCCAATCCCTAAAGACACCAGCCTGGAGCACATCCGGATTGAGATGCTCAATCTAGGAGCAAAGTACGTGTGGCTGGATGTACTCTGCTTGAGACAGAAAGGGGGCCGCAGGGAAGATCTGCGAGTGGAGGAGTGGAAAGTGGATGTGCCCACCATTGGATCTGTGTATGAACAGGCTGAGAAAGTGGTGTGTTATCTGAGTGGGCTGGGACGGCCGTTGAGTTCCGACGCTGACAACTTTGAGAGTGACCGGTGTTGGTTCAAGCGTGCATGGACCCTGCAAGAGATCAGCAGGCATCCGATCATCGGTGGGGTCACTGACGACAAGGAGCTACGATGGAGATTCCAGGAGCAGTTATCATCACTGCGGAGGATACACGGTCAACACCGTGTGTATGAAGTGTTGTTGCAGATGCAGAAACGGGTGTCGACGAATCCTGTGGATAAAGTTGCGGGGATGGCGTACCTTCTGAATTCAAACTCTATACCGGCTTACTACGGAAAGCAATCCGAAGAGGAGGTGTGGGCAGCCTTGGTGAATATGACAGCACAACACACTCAAGGGGATTTGCTCTTCCTGTATCCTAAACCTGGAAACGGTAACAAAATTTGGCGGCCATCATGGAGGCAGGTCATGATCGAGGAACTTCCATCGCAACGCCGCAATTTGCAGATTGGTTGTTGGAATCTGGACGGCAAGACAGATGTAGACTCATACCGCAATGGATACATTGTTGAATCGGCCATTGTAAAAGGATTGTCCGAGGGAGACTCGCAACGACGTGTGCGATCAGGAGAGCTTGTTGTTGAAGACAATACAGGAACAGAGTGTATATTTGAGATCTTCGCCTATCATCAGTACGCAATACCGGATGGCTCATACACGTTGCTAGGCGCCAAGGTTAAATCTTGCAGTAGGGTGTGCTGGGTAGTCGGGTGGAGACTGCCAGATCGGAGGCTAAAGAAGTTGTCAGTATTCGAAATGGACATGGGCGATGCACCAATGGTGTTATTGCTGTCACAGGGCAGGTCCGATACTACGTTGCTTGCTTGATATGAATAAATGTTCACAACACATTTCGAACATGATTCTAGAATTATAATCATCAGCTTGTTTATATGCATCGCTCGTTGAATTATACAATAATTAGCACCTCTTGTATTCTTACGCTTATTTTAACATCTGGTTTGACCGCCAGCGTGTGTATGATTTTCATTTTTGTACAGCTTAGAGACTCCTGGGCCAGTCGTAGTTCCAACTCGGTACTTTGGCTGCTGTTATGAAATCCTACCGAAAAGGAGGAAATAATCGGCATACAGAAAAGATAATGCAATATCGAGCACATACCTAGCTGACTCGCTCTGTCCAGGAGCAGGCGATGATGATCTAAATAAAGCGGGTCCTACCTAATAATAAAATTTAGATCGTTCATCAATGTTCTTGAATGTGACCGTATAGGTGAGAACTCACCTATCGATATCGGGAAGTATATCGGGACTCTTCAAATTCAGGATTCAGGGATCCCAGATGGCACGCAACATCATGACATTGCGCGTCGGGGCAGAGGTACAATAAACGTCGATGAAGGAGCGGAGAAAAGAGAGTCGATGCCTCTTTGGGAAGAACGGGTAGGTCAGTGATGGCAACTTCCTCTTTTGTTCGTACCACCGTGTTTCATTCTTTCTTCATGCGATTTCCGGTGTTCCAACTGTCCATGTCACATCAACTAATACGGGGAAGCCTCATCGTCAAAATCTCAGGATTAAGTGGAATCAATTTTACTTTCATTTGCAAGCCTGTCAAGACGATGTGCTGCGCTCCGGCGAGCGACATGTAGGGACACCTAGAGATGACAAAAGGACGGGCAGTGAGTTGGAGGGGTTCCGGTTCTCACTGAAGGATAGTTTCCCTTCGCGCAGGGGAGAATCAGCGTACTCTCCGATCATGATAGTTGGTTTTGCGGTCTAGATTCTGGCGTTGGGTCTCCTGCCGGTAAGTGATGCATTTAAAAACTCTCATACACACAATGGTTAGTAACTACTTCCTCCATGAAAGGATAATGGGAGCGGCAATAATTTAAACATGAGTACAGTGTCTTCCAAGAAGAGTTCAAGGCGGGCAGAATCCGTAGTCGTCTGGTATGTCTTTTTCTTCCATTCTCGCGTGTTTTATTTAAGCATTGGGTGTCGCCAGTCTCAATCTCAATGTGTGGAACCAAGACTGCGTCAGAACGGCGTACTACGTTCCGGCGAGCGATATGTAGGGACACCTAGAGATGACAAAGGACGGGCAGTGGGTTCTCGTTGAAGGATGGTTTCTCTACGTGCAGGTGGCGTTTGATCATGGTGAGTCGTTAACCATCTTGTTAATATCTTCGCTGAAACCCAATCTCCTCTCCTAGGAATCCTTTCCTTTTCTTCACGACAGCAACTTGTCAATGTTCAATACCGGCACTTGACACGATTCGACGGCCCTAGTTCAAGTCAGTAAGGATACGGAATGAGGGAGACTTGCAAAGGGCTCGAGCCGTCGTGTCCGTCCATCTTCATGCAACAATTCCGTCCTGTACCTCTGCTCTGCCGCGACGAGGGATGGTGAATTGGAACCACCCGAGAGGGGACTGGTCATGGAGAGGGAGAGGGTTACAGAGTAGCCCGGTTCTGTCTGCTTGAGAGGTATGTGCTTAGCGGTTGACGCGAACGCGTGAAGTGTTGACTTTGATACGCAGGTAGCTATCGATGCTAAGATCAAAATCAAGCTAATATCGATCCTCGCTTTCTTCTATAACCTGCATATACATCTTTTGCTGCGGTATGTGCTTTTTTAGTGTAAACGTCTTTTTTCATTCACACCAGTAATATCAGCGACTCCTCTTTCCCGGAAGTCAAGGATATACTACATCCTCCATCGCCTACGGTATGTTTACTCTTATCGGCATCCATTCTCTTGTCATTAATCATCTCGCAGGAACACGGAAAGCTCCACTTTCGTCCTTCTCCTTCGTCGAAGAATGCTCTCAACCTCATATTGAACTTACGCCGGGGGGGGTAATGTATCGCGCTATGGTGACCGAGACGAGTGGGTACCCGGGAACGGTGGCGAGTCTGGGAGGAAGGATGGATTTCACTACCCGCAAGAAGGATCAGTGGACTTTCCGACTGTGGGAGGGGGTTTTAGATTTCACATGGTAAGTCATTGGATGCCCAGTCAATATGTGTGCTAAAACGCTTTCTCCCTTGCCAGGCGCTATCCTTCCTTCCTCCTCGCGGATATGACTCACTGACGTCGAGTCAGCATTAAGATTTTGAGGTGAATTTCGGATCGAGGAAATATCTACCGGGAGGAAGTCCTGGCGTGGTGTGCGACATCGAGCCATGTCTCGGGATCGAAGTACTTGAACGAAATATGACTGTGGGCCCAGGGAGCATGTATGGCAGAGGGGACTTTGCTCAATTCATCATCCTGGTATCCAGTCAGTCAGTCAGTCAGTCTTGTCATCAGTTTTATTGATTCTCACTCAGTGTTACATACGTATGCGTGCTTATACAGGTCATCATTACAGCACTGCAGCGATGCTAGTAGTCTTGCGTCCTTTTCCCTGGTAACAGCTTTTTATGATTTTTGCTGCGTGACTTTCTAGTCTATCATGTTGCTCATAACAAGTGGGCAACAAAATAAACACGCGAACCACGCGATTTTATTTGAATAGAAGCCACAGAAATAGAGATTCCGGACAGGAGATGCAGCGAGCGAGTAGATAGGCGATGTGAAAACTCTGCAGGAAGGCGTACAAAGGGAAGCGAAGTTGCGGGTCCAAGTGACGGCAACTTCCGCTGTTGCTCGTACCACAACAACTCTTCCAGAGACTGTCGGCGTTCCAATGTCGACTCCCATCCCAATCAGTCAATGGACCTACGTCTTCCCTTTACCGCGTATCCGGATGTCGTGCCGATGTCGATGCGTCGAGCAATGGAGAGGAGAGTAGAGGCGGTTGGAGGGAAGGAGGTCATTCCGCCCTTTCCTGCTGCTATTACATGTCAACGCAACCCTCGATTCCTCTTCAAGCGGTGTGTCTACTGCCGTTTTTCGGTTCTCGGTGGTGGGGAAAGACGTAGCGTGCCGGAGAGAGGTGCTTGTGAGAACGGAGTGGAAACGTCACCGGTCACTAAAGTAGAGACAGTGCAGGAGGAGGGTGGAAGGTATTACTCGCGGAGACGCTCGATTTGGGTAGTAGCTCGTCATTGACGGCAGAGCGCATGGTGGCGGTACAAGGCCAGGATTGTTCGCCGATCGTGACGCGTTGTCGGCTCCCACATTTCTTCGACTCTTACTATCACCACCCTCAACGGCCACGCGACCTTTCTCCAGAACTCACATGCGAGAGTGTGACGAGAAGGATCCGCGGCACACGAGCGTCCTTAGGTTTGGCGTCTTGCAGGAGGCGTTGTTCGTAGCCACCAAGGACAGAGATGCGCTCACTCGGATGAGCACGTTCTGTCTGACGATGGACGAAAGGGACCATCTACGGGCTCTTGACTGAGAAACCGACTCCGAGGGAAGAAAAGGTACGTTTTTCTATCTTAGCTGTCCGCGCTGATAACATATAGCTTCTGATAGGGGTTCCCCATCACCCTTCTAATGGGTGGCGACATGCAGCTGCAATGTACGAACAGAATGGCGACTTCAAGGCCGTTCTGTTCAATGCAGACTCAAAGGAGGTGGAGAAGGACAATGACTACGCAGTTGGCTGACAGTGGGTAGGGCAGCGGATGAAGGTAGGCATGATTACAACGTATGCGCCTATGCTAATACACTATAACAGCTGCTTCAAGGCGCCAAATTCTTCCAAGCGACCCGTAACTGCAAGTTCGGCAACCGTTTCGAGCTGGTCCTTCACTTAATCCCATTGGTACGCGAGCCTCAGATCTGCGACCCGATGCCCTTTCCACATATAAAGCTTGAAGATCTCTGGCCTGTGTCCGATTCTCCACGTGCACGCATTTTATTGTTCCCCGCCATATGGGGAGAGAGTGGAGGTCGACGGTGGATAGTAGACTATGCCTGCCTGCCTGCGGTATCATGACTCTTGCCTCGCGACAGGGTACACAACACACGCATCTTGCTTTTTGAAATGAGCCTAGTACCCAGCGGTATGTTGTTCTCTTGACCGGCATGTTAATCATCTCATCATTATTACCTAGAGTACACCATAGTGTCCCAATTCTCGTGCTGTTACTACGTCGACTTCATTATTGCCCACATAAATATGGCATATTGTTGTTTGATTTAACGATTGCCACGATGCAAGCGTCTTTCGCCACAGTCTACACCCGCGGAGGCTGTGAAAAACATACCATACAGCAATCCAATCAAATCAGTGACAGATTTTCACTCCTTGCCACTGCCACGCTTTCTCCTCACCTACACACCACCATGAGTTCCCTTCCTCCCCTTCTCACATCTGAAGTCTACAATTCTCGTCAGCTTCCTCTCCTACTGCGCACATTGACCATCCCAAGTCGGTATGCGTCTAGTCTTCCTAAGCTTCAGGAAAGTCGTCCGACTGTCGTCGTCAGCTCTTGTGCACAAGATCGAGCCCATCATGTCTCAAGATCTCAAGGTCGACCGTGACATCTTGTGGAAGGCGTGAAGGTCGACGAGCACATGGCGAGGCTGGCACCCGGCACGTCCCGACTGAGTTCCCCAAGTCCGAAAGCACTAAATGCGACCCTTCCCGCAATAAATCATCCTCAATTCCAGAAATCGACGTCTTATCAAAGTTTGGTCTGCACAGCTTGAGGTTTAGATGTGGCGGCATCGTCTTGCACTTGAGATCGGGTCAATCACGAGTTTAAATCTTGCTGCAAAGTCCCCGCATTGGAGATGTTTGATGAGTCTTCAGCAAATGGTACGGAAGTCCTTGGGTTCGTGGCAGTGGTAGGACGGCATTGATGGTCGCTGACGACACGAGGGGTAAAAACAAAGCAGGAGGATCGTGGTAGAGGACCAGCAAAGTTGGGAGATAACTTCGACATTGCCAGCAACAGCTGTTTAGTTACCAGCCAGTCATCCATCGAACTGATAACCGGTGCTGACACAGCCTTTGTGCTGAGCATCGTCTTCTTTCCATCGAGCCCCCACTCTCTCATTCAAGGTTTTCGCATGATGATGACTCCTTTGTTCGAGATCTTCTTCCTCCACTCGCAATCTATCTTTGATGATAGGTCCAAATTTTTGATGAATAGTCGGCTTTATTTTCCCCAGCGAACTTGGGGCCACGGATTTCGGTGTGAATAAGTCAGATTTCAGAGTGGACGATTTGGAGGTGGCTGGATGACTCGATGAAGTCTGGGTGATGGGGAAGCGAGGTGTGTAGATACACAGTTCTTCTCGGCTTTGTTGTACTGATGTCAGGTCTAAAGGTGCTTCACTGCTTCGTTAGGGCTCTCTTCCTTCTGATGTACAATGACCGGTAGATTCGAGCCGGCAGTGGTGTCGTTGTTACTGGGGACATAGGCATCTAGGCTACGGCAAAAATCTTGTAACGTTTGCATGCAATATACCTTGTTAGAATCCTGATACACCCTATACCAGGGCATAACCTGTGAAATTGGCAACAGACCAGTGAACAACCAGGCAATGCCCAAATGCAAATACATTCAGCAAATATCACCCCTTTCTTTGATCTGCACCCAGGTATTAACCCTCCCCAAGCACTCTATAAGCATTGAATGAGAGTCAATAACAAGCCTGCATTCCTTTAGGTGATGGGTATTTGAAGGCTGTATTGTTTGATCTGCAAGATTGATAAGGCATCCGGAGGAGTATGGGCTCATTGGGATAGATGAATTCCTTCCAGATTTGAGAGTGTGGTGTGTGGCATGATCAATATGAGTGTGAAACTTTGCAAGGATAGTGAAGGAATAACAGATGGAATAGTGAGATTCTTGCTGAGCCTGGGACCAGCATTTGAAATGTCCCTTACACAACATTATCACAATAAAAATTTGTGTCAAATTTGTGGACATTTATTCATCAAGCAAGAAAAGTAGTATGAACCTTTGTAGCAATACCCTGTGACACTAATGACATAAGGTCCTCATACATCTGGAATACTGATAACTTCTTTAGCCTCTGATCTGGCAGTCTCTGCCCAACAACCCATCTATGTCTATATCCACGTGCAGTGCCTAGCAATGTGTATAAGCCATCTGGTATTGGATACTGATGAAAGGCAGAGATCTTGAATATACACTTTGCCCCAGTGTTGTCTTTGACAACAAGCTCTCCCTGTCGCAAGGCTTGTCTTTGTGAGTCTCCCTCAGCAGATAATCCTTGAACAAAGGCTGATTCAATGATGAAGCCTTGGTAGTATGAGTCAACATCTGAATGGACATCCTCATTCAAGCAACCAAACCACACATCCTTCCGTTGGTTTTTTGATGAAAGTGTTTCTGTCATGACCTGATTCCATGATGGTCACCAAATTTTCATTCCATTTCCAGGTTTAGGATACAGGAAAAGCAAATCTCCCTGGCACCAGCGCAATGCTGCATCTACCAGTGCTATCCATGCATCCTCTTCAGACTGCTTTCCATAGTATGCTGGTATACATTCAGAATCCAAAAGATATGCCATCCCTGCAATTTTATCCACAGGATTTGTTGAAACCCGCTTTTGCATATGTAATAGCACACTATATACATCCCGTTGACTCCTCATATTCTGCAGCAATGATAGTTGCTTATAAAACTTGGCCCGTAGCTTTTGATTGCCAGTGTTCCCACCAATGATTATATTCCTGCTGAGCTCCTGGAGTGTCCATGCACACTTGAACCAACACCGATCACTCTCAAAGTTGTCAGCATTAGAATTCAATGGCTGTCCCAGTCCACTCAAGTAGCACACCACTTTCTTGGCTAAGAAATACACCTCTCCAATAGTGGGGACATTGTTATGGTTTATTCATTTTTCTTCATTTACTCAGCTTGATTACTCATATGCGATCATCACGGACGGTCTCTCACAGTACTATTATTAGCATACTCAACGTGTATTTAAGTAGAGCCTCAGCTGGCCTAAACTCCAGCTTCGGCTAAGGTTTAATCTACCCAACTCAAAGCTCCCTGTTTCGTGACTATCTAAGTCATTGATTGACTCCTATACATCTCCTTTGACCTCTAAGAGTATCGTCCACCAAAGTGCGAGTGGCGATCCTTAGTTGATCTAAGTCGATTATAGTTGGTTGTTGACATTTAGCCGAAGCTCGCCATACGTTGCTCAGTGTTGTACGCTGCCCAACATTTATTCTCTATTACTCTTCACGGCGGTAGTCGTTTGGGTCCTACCCACCATACTACTTGACTCACTATTCCCGATCCTAACCACGATCCTTATCGTGTTCGTCATCCGAATTTATATCACAGCTCCGGTACTAGCAGCATTGCTCCTAGTAGCGTATACGGGATATCTTCGAATTTGACGACAACGAATCTCTTCATATCTTCCCTCAAAATTGCTTCACTGTTGGCAGTGGTACTGCTAACACTGACAGGCACTCTCGACCTAAACGACCCCTCGTTGATGACCGGTTCCGACTACGAGACCGACCTCAGCCTGGTTATCGCCATACTCATTGCACTCACCATTCTCGCCATCCGACAGTTCGTATGCCACTTGCTGAACTGCTACCAACTGTTGCAGTAGCTTTTGGATTACTTGCAGGGGCACTCCTAGCACTCGCCATTAGGGCAGTCTACAGGTGTTGCACCCGTGCTCGAAGAGCCAGACTCCCATTCCACTACATCCCGCATCTCAGGATTCTGTATCCAACCGTTCCATATCCGCACATTCCAGTGCAACCCACACTTCACGATGGACGACCCATCACACCCAGAGGAGAATCCTCAAATTCCGGGGAGTCTTCCCCAACCCCAAGAGCAGCCTCTGTTGACATCACAGATGTACGAGGCGTCGACCTACTCGCAGACATCCATGTATCTCCCCCAGGAATCATCGACCTCCCTTCCATTGGAGGAGAAGAAGGAGGGGATATGGGCTCGAGCCAAGAAGAAGATGACAACGTCGGGCACGAAGGGGACGACCTCGAAAGAATCCGCCTCCAAGACATCATCGACAGCCTCTACGTGGAGAACGACGGCGATGAGGATGATTCTGGAGTCAGGAGGATCAACAGGGAAGGAGGGTACTTCGGCGGAAGCCGCTATGAGGAGAGTGACAGAGAGCTCAGCCTTGGGGCCTCCGCCGCAACTACCGCCTGTCCAGCTGGAACAGACCCCTATAACGGTTGAATCGTGCCAGGCATGGGAAGAGAGTCACAGGGGATCCCCATGGCCTGGCACCCCGCCACCAGTTGGGTCTTCACCAGGGAAGAGGCTCCTGTGGCCGGCGTATCAGCCACCCCCGCAGGACCCGAGGACACCCCGGTCCAGAGGGCCATTACCCTCCCTGCTGAAACAGAAGAGCGTATCTGGGACACCATTGAGGCGTACTCCCCGGACACTCACCCCGATTTATACAACCCAGGAACTACCGACACAGAACAGAGAGAGGAGATTGAGTGGACGGAATACCCAGGAGACACAGAAGAAGGAAGAAGGATACTCCGTGAGTTTGGAGGAGATTCCTCCTCCGACCAACTCCCCGCAGTTCCCCCTTTCACTCCGTCGGTCCAGGCGAGAGCATTCGCAATCCCCCAGCCCATCAATCAGAGACCCTGGACCGATGAGTACAATACGCTCGTCCAGTTCAACTTCAACCTTAGAAATGCCCGGCTCACCCCAGAAGGAGTGGCCCTCGTGGACCGAGGAAGAACAGCAAGCGCACGCACTCGAAATGCAGAGCGTCGCGCCGTTCGAGACCTTAGCTTCCACCTTCCTCTCGAGCCCGATGCCACCGATGCCGAAGCCCACCAAAGGTTTAGAACCGCCGAGCTCCGACTTCGGGAAGCCTCCAGAAGAGCGCGCGACAACCTTGAGTGGCATGATGCAGCCCTTGAGGACTTCCTCTTCGAGACACTCGATGAGGACTGCTCTGATCTCGCTGAGTATAACCGGGAAAGGCTTCAACGGGCGCGACACGAGAGGGAGCACCCAGGACCTTGGTCAACCAGAGGAAGCAGGCAATGGACCGCAGAGGAGGTCGCCCGGTGGAATGCCGAACAGGCTGCCTCTCAGCACGATCATGAGGGAGGTGATGAGGGACATCCGGAGGGTACTCACTGAACCGATAACGGTGGTACCACCTGCCCTAAACCTGCTCACCTGGGACAATTTATACGAACTAATTGCAGAAGACATGATAACCGACCTCCAGTGGCTGCTCACGGAAGCAGGAGAGGATTACCTAAATGCTCGACTCGACGGGGACGAGTATTTGATGAAAAACATTGTAGAAGTTGACATTTGGCACTGGGCGGCAATAGTATGGAATATTTGTCACCCCGACTATGCCAAGCCGGGTTGCGCGGCATACCGACGACCTGCACCGATGCCCCACCCGCTTAGCACCTACGGGGCTGGAGGAGGAGGAGATGACAAGGATGACAGATGGGCAGATTTGGGGGCCGGGCCCTCTAACCCAGATAAAGGGAAAGGATCGACAGTACCACCGCAACCTCCAAAAGCCCCACCGCCGCCGCTACCACCTAATTACCCAGGGGGATACCCCCCTCCCAGGGACAACCCTAGGCTACGATCGTTACCATGACCCCCAAATCTGCCAGTCCCACCAGTGCCCCCATCGCCTCCGGACCCTATTCCCCTATGGCAGTTGGCGCTGGGAGCAGTAAACAATCCGTGGAATGATGTCAAACCCAAGTTGATTATGCAGCCGGAATACTTCACCGGGGTGTCTTCAGACATCAATCGATTCCTGCACCACTGCGAGGTGTACTTCCAGGTATTCCCGATGTACTACACCATGAATGACCAGGGGCAAAACCCCTATCGCATTACCTTCGCCCAAGGGTACCTATGGGGAAAGGCGCAGGAATGGTGGGGTGACCAATACTATCGGTACCGGGACCCATGAGGGCACTGGAGATTCCCCACGTGGGATGAATTTTCCCATGACCTAACCGTCCAGTTCCACGAGGTAGCGGAGTTAACCATTTGGAAGCAGGAGTGGAAAAAGGTCCGCCAATCGGACTTCAAGTCGGTGATAGAGTTCTTCGCGAAGTTTGAGAGGCTAGCTCATAAGTGTGAAGAATTCAGAGACGAGAAGCAGATGTTCGAAGCCGTGGAAGCCACAATCCGACCCACAGTTCGAAACACGGTTATGCATGGGGACAATGAGCGCCCCACAACCTATGCCGAATGGAAAGGGCATGTCCTGAGGATCGACGCCAACTACCGATACAATGTCGCCCAAGGACTGGGCAATAAGTCCTCCTCAAACCAAAGCGGTGGTTCGGGTCGAGGCAATCAAAATCAATCATCGAAGGGAGGCCAGGGCTCCAGTGGCGATAAGAAGGATGCCACGGGGACCACCTATGGAGGTGCCAGGCAGCCAATGGAGATTGATAAGCTACGAAGCGATAAAAGATGCTTCAAGTGCGGAAATACTGGGTGGAGCTGGGACCATAAATGCCCGACGGACAAATCCAAGTGGCTCCCTGTCAAGCTCCCCCCACGAAAAAAGATCCCCACCCAGCGACTTCGACAGTTACTCGCAGAGGCCGAGAAGGAGGAGAATGGAAAGGATACAAAGATTGAGGAGGTCAAGGACAAGAGCAAGTCGTCAAAAGATGAGCCGGCATCGAAATAAGCGATTCGACGGCGTCGGCAAAGGACTTAGTTTCATCTGGTGTGCACTCCTGTACTACTAGTCGGACTTATACTATGTATGTAGGTACTCCATTTGAACAATATATCAACTTTTTTGCCGCGTTACCAGTAGAAGAAATCAAGGATGAAGAATCGCAAAACGCCAATGGCGTAGGAGGGGATTTCCGCCGCTCCATGCAGCCTGCATCTAGCAATGAACCCCTAGGGGCTGTCTGACCTCCGGAACCCCCGCTTGACCGAACAGGGAAAAGTCTGGAGCACCCAGCGAGCGCCTCAGGTCAAGTCCAGACTAGCGCCAGACGTGGTAGCGGTCGACCCAGGAGGGAGAATCAGCCGACGACCCCGACTGACGGGCCTTCACTCGTTGTTCCTCCAGTCAGCGGTGGAAAAGCAGCTGAGGCTAGGAACCAAGGGGACCACCTACACTCAGTAGTAGCCTCACCCACAAACGGTGCCGACCCCCTTGGCGAGCCAATATGTGTGCGTCCACATAGGGTCACCGAGAGTACCGCCGGGGATAGGAAGGAGGATAAGTATGGATTGCTAGTGGGGGTTACAATGCCGAGCACAAATGCCCTTGGCCAGGGCCGAACACAGGGCAGCGCGCCCTCCCCCACTGTTAGCCACTAACTCTATCGACTTAGATCGTGCTAGGATCGCTACTCGCACTTCGGTAGACGATACTCTAGTAAGTCAAAGGCGATGAAAGTCGATGGGACAGATAGTCACGAAGGCCGGAGTTCGATGTTAGGTAGAATTAACCTTAGCCGAAGCTGGGGTTCAGGCCAGCTGAGGCTCTACTTAAATACACGTGAGTAATCTAAAAATACTACTGCGCAGTCAGTCCGTGATGATCGCGCATCGCGTAATCCGGCTGACTAAAGAAAAGAAAAGAAAAGAAAAGAAAGGAAAGAAAAAGAAAAGAATAACCGTAACATTACCCCCTCCTTAAGACTCATTTGTCCCGAATGAGAATATATCTGCTTCCCTCCACAGGAGCGAATTGAGGGGCTCCCTTCTGCTTTAAAACAGGATCGATTGGGCCTCCGCTATGCCATAAAAAGTCACTCGTTGGGTTCGGCCTCAGACCCTCTCTCCCCCTGGGCTCAGGTTCCTAGCTTTCCTGAGCCACCTTGCGCCGGTTAA